AAATTGCATGAACGCGTTAAACTCGCTCCGAAGGTATTGAAAACAACAAATCTTTTATTTCTAGCTCTCTCACGTAAACATACATACACATAAGCAAAAATAATGAGATTTAAAGCATAAAAAGCATAACCAGAGTATGCGGTAATTTATCAGCACATCATCAGCTGCTTGTTTTCTATGCTATATTTAACTTAGTTGATGTTTTAATATGTAAAAAAAATATTTCAGAAATTAATTTTTAAACGGAACCAATTTGTAAGACATGCTGATCACATTCCAGCATCAAACATCGTGTGTAATTATGCATAAAGTGATGTGGAGCTTTTGTGAAGGAAAAAATTCTAAAAAATTGTTTCTCAATTTACCTTTTTAAAATTGTAATTAATTCAAAGCCTTCAACGACACAAGTAGTATTTTTTTATGGATATTATGTGTGTACATACCTCATTCACAGATCATACGACAACGCAAAAGATGAAAATATTTGGCGCAAATGTAAAGTTCGATCGAGTGCTGTTGTTTTTCATGATTGATCGACTACTTCATTCCATGAATATCTAATTCTACTTTTGGATCAATTTTGCAAAACAAATGTGCTTTTATAGACGCTTGATGAGGACTATTTGAATGATGAGGATATAAACAAGCAGCATTATCAGGACATTATTGGCTTTATTAAGGACATTGGAATTCTAGCATAGGGGACTTGGGATGGTACAACAGATCATCGATCGCAGTGCCGCTTTTGCTATTAGCAAAACCCTTCATCACATTCTATTCTATTACAGACGCTTTGGGGGGTCGGGTGGAATGTTGATAGAGTCGTGAGTTCAAAAAGACGTAAGAATTTTGCTCAATTAATTATTTTTCATGCATGCTCTGAATTAACGAGCTTTTGGAATTTGAATTTTCTAAGATCAACAATTTTAAATTTAAAATGGAAGTTGAAATTTTGAATTTTGTTTAAGAACCTACTGATGGCATTTTAATCCATTCCTTCTTGAGAAAATCATATAAAAGACTTTATCTGAATTCATTAATTGGAGTTTCATGTTGGCGAATTTGATGTGCAATACTGCAAATGCACAAGATGATTATTATGACTGACAATCATCGTTTACGAAGCTACATCAAAGTATATAATACATTATGGATCATTAATCACATAAACCATAAATTCATAATCTATGTTCCTATATGATTCATGTAATATTTTCTTCTTTGCATCATCATTAAAGCACATATCGCATCTCGTCCATATATTTATACAGCATAATAGCATTTCAAGCAATGATAAGGAACGGAAAATAAATGAAATGAATGGATATGGACAGAAGCTTATAAAGTAGATATAGAGAAAAGGTCAATAAAACATGAATATATAAAAACAAGTTTTTCTCTCTTTCTTCTTTCTTCTTTTTACCATAAAAATGTCTATATACAGCATAACAACATTGGTGCTCGTATCTTCCTCCACGTTATGCCATTTTATTGCATATTTATTCAATAATTGTCCAAAACCAGATGAATAAAAAACATCTTGTAATCATCATTTTTCATGTCTTTATATTGATACCTTTATTCAGAGTACACGAGTGAGATCGTAAAAAATCAGGCAAAAATATGCGCCAGAGAAAGTGTTTTGGCGGAGAGCATTTAGACCTACAATATATTTATTTTTGTTTCCATCGGTCCATGTGTATGTGTAAGCAAGTCAGCATATGTTTCTCATTGTCACTTGTAGAAAATACAAAATTTATCTTCAGCAACAAGGTAGCTTCACTTTTGCTTTTTTTTGGCATGCATGAGCTATTTTCTGGTCACCTAATTCATGGACTTCCTATGAAAATGGTTCATTTGGGGTTGTCCATAAATTCCTATCAAAGTCGCCCAGCCTGGAATCTTCGAAAGTGAAATGATTTTTTTTTCGTCGTCGTCACACGAATGTTTCAGCTACTTCATCATCATCATACATTTCTCTTTCATTTGGGGTCTCAGCCATCGATTCGAATATTAACATACTTAATGTTATTATTATGATCTATAGATCCACACATACCGGTACATTCATAAGCTAATGTAAGTGGCTTTTCATATTTTTCTTTCATAATTGATACTCAACAATTTACTTCCTGCTTTATTTGATGCTTATGGAGCTGTTATTAGGTCAATTATCGAAGTCTTTCGATACAATTTAAGTTTAAATTATTGGGATTATTTCATCGATGTACTCTAATTATTGTATTAGGCTATGATTGCGTGTGAAAAAGATGTACTTTTGATTTCATTGAGACGGTGATGTAATGACGACATATTTACATCCTTATGGACTAGTTGTTTCCGTGAAATGTTGCCTTTGTTTCCCGCTCAAATATGCCGCGTGCTTGTACACGCGTATATCATTTTGTTATGTGACGTTGATATGGCTGGCTTACTTTTTTTGGGTATATTCCCATGACAATACTTAAATTTGTTGTTTTGTAAACAAAATAGAAGAAAATTTTGAGTGGAAATAGACACACAAAGGTTGCATAAACTGGCATAAACATCAAATTGTTGTAAATATGGAACTATGGACTTTTTAAAGCTGAACAACTGAGTATTTTTGATAATCATATTGTGTTTTTGGATACTGGCAATCCAAAGTAGATCTTGAAAGGATTTCCCAACGACAAAGAGTATATTTTGATAATCTACAACAATCCTCATAACAAAAAATGATTTTAAAACTAATTCCAAACTTGCCAACAATATATTAGCCATAAAACTCAAATTAATAACCTCAAACTGAGCATTACTTACATGCACACTTCCGGAAATATAAAATTGTCTTCGATTTATTTATGAAGCACAAGACAATTGAGTTAAGTAAAGCTGTTTGTAACAATGAAATGACAAACGGCAACAGTGATGATTGAGTAGCTTCTATTGTCTACGATGCACATCTTCAATACTTATATAAGTGTAAAGCACAGCTTTGAATTCGACTCTAGTCAATTCCTGAATGTTTTGATGATTTGAATGTTAGGTCTATGGTTTTAAGTCATAAAACCTTAATATTTTGGATAAAGAAGCTCTGTTTACGTTCTTTCAGTAAACTACATCCCTCTGTTTCCTTGCTCGGTCTATAACTTAACAAGAATCCATAAGTCGGCATCTACTTATGTACAAGAAACAGTCAAATCATTAGTCTTTTCATTTGGCATCAAAATTAATAACATATTCACAATAGACTGTTAATAGAAGCTCATTGTCTATCTCTCGTGTCAATATTCCACCATCCATTTATCAAATCCAAAAAATTTATTATAGAAATAGCAGTCCTAGACACTGTTTGTCAGAAGATCTATCTTTTTAAAATTCTGGTTCATTGAAATTAACCTGACCTTGAGCAGGTGCTGCATCATGGATATAAAAAAAAAATCAACCTGTACTTTGCTGTCAATTTATAGCCTTGAATCATAAGTGACTATTGAAATATGAGTTAAAGATCATTGAAATAATTACTTGATTTTATGTTATTTGGCTGTCATGGATTTATGTTATGCATTGGCTTATGCTTTATAATGAAGTGGTCTAAGCTCATAATGTAGTCATAATTCTGTATTTAGTTAAGCATGAACATATAATTTGTGCTTAACAGCTTTATAATAATGTAATAATATTAAAAGCTTATGCAAATCATTCGCTAATTGGAATTGGCTGCTTCTGGATCTATTTTTTTCTAGCTCAAGATGATTACTTCTTTCAAGTAGCTGAATACTGTCAAAAAAGTGACGCGAAAATGGCTGATTCCAAATCTTTTTTCCCGTAGATATTCAAAACTTATTCAAATATCTTGCGGCGTCTATCTCTGATGTCTCAAACTTTCCAACAAAATATTTTTGAGAATAATTTATCTTCTTATTTCTCATAGAAATTATATATCACATTTGTTAAGCGACTATGTTGTTTCGGATTTCTCAGGTCATTATCTTTGTCATCTTATCGTATTTTTCTGATATAAATTTACAGCTGGTTATTGAAGAAATTTCCAAAATTTGCATAGATCAGTGTCATTATAATTTTGGAACTGTCAAGCAATTTTTTCATCTAGCTACTTCTCTTGTCTGCAAACTGTTTGACTCATTAGCTGTCAGTTCCATGAGAACAATGAAAAATAAATTTTTAAAAAGATATTCACGCAGTTAGGGTCTGTTCACTTATTACGTAACGCGAAAAAATGACTTCTTAGACCCCCCCCCCCCCCCCTCGTAACAAAATTTGTATGAAAAAAAAATTTCCTTGTTTGAACCGTAACAAAATCTTAGACCACCCCCCCCCCCCTCCCCCTGAAAGCGTTACGTAATAAGTAAATGGCCCCTTAGGATTCTCGCTGGATCTTACAAAATCTATTGTATGCTTGATGGTAAGCGTAATTATGTTTGCATGGCTTCATGTCAATAGATTTTTTACAGCATCATTAATTTGTCAGATATATAAGTGAATTTTTGGAGATATTCGTGTCTATAGCTAATTGATTGCGTTAGGCTTGCTTTCTTCACTTCAAAAGACATCATTACAATCCTTGAAAACACTCAAGGATTTAAGTTTACAACATTTTAAGTGCTCATTTATAACTTGTGGATTATGAGATGATCACGTTACTTGACTTTTAGTGATTGGTAGGTCAATGATTAATGCATTCAATGATTCTTTCTCCATGACGAATTTGTTTACAAATTATCTTTAAATCATGACAGCTTATATACTGACTTATTAAAGGATAGAAATGGTGTGGAAGGGCAATAGCTTTATGATGCTGTGATGTCTGCTAGAACACGTTGATTTTTAAAAGAAAACCGTTAAATATTAACGGTCGATAAAATTTAAAAATTCATTCAGTAATCCAGAAATTTCATTTCATTTCAATTCAATTTCAGTTGTATTACTAAACGCACTCAAAAAGAAAATAATTTTTTTATTATAAATAATCGAATTCTGTGGATTAACAGACGAAAATGGGTAAACTTAACGTTACCGTGTTACGGTATCTATCCAAAGAGGATTTTCGTGTTTTAACAGCGGTAAGTAATGTCTATTTTGTGAGAAAATACAAAATTATGAAAATCACATGTATTTAAAATGTAAATAATAAAATTTCAGATTGAAATGTTATCCAAAAACCATGAATTATGTCCTGGATCGATGGTTGCGGTTGTCGCTAACTTAAAATCAGGAGGTGTACATAAATTATTAAAGGAATTATGCAAACAGAAATTGGTTTCTTATGAAAGAGGCGCTAAATGTAAGGAAATTGTCAATTCCAATGTATCTCAAATATTAAATTAACTTAATAATTTTAGATGATGGATTCCGTTTAACAAACATGGGATATGATTATTTAGCATTAAAGACTCTGACTTTAAGAGGATCAATTGCTTCATTCGGTACACAAATTGGTGTTGGAAAGGAATCAAATATTTATACAGTTTCTGATGATGAAGGCAGTGAATTGTGCTTAAAATTGCATCGTCTTGGTCGAGTTTGCTTTAGAAATGTCAGAAATAAGCGTGATTATCATGGAAAACGAAAGAAGATCTCGTGGCTGTATCTTTCAAGAATTTCAGCAACTAGAGAATTTGCTTACATGAAAGCTCTGTATGAACGTGGATTTCCAGTCCCTAAACCAGTTGATTTTAACAGACATTGCGTAATTATGGAACTTATTAATGGATATCCTTTAACACAAATTCATGAAGTTATTGATCTTGAACAATTATATGATGACCTTATGAATTTGATTGTCAGACTAGGAAATTGTGGAGTAATTCATGGCGATTTCAATGAATTCAATATTATGGTTACAGACGATGCAAAACCAATTCTTATTGATTTCCCACAAATGGTCTCAACATCACATGAAAGTGCTAAAATGTTTTTCGATCGTGATGTTAAAGGAGTCAGAGATTTATTCAAAAAGAAATTTGGATATGAAAGTGAAGACTATCCAAAATTCGAGGATCTTGAACGTGATGATAATATGGACATAGAAGTTGCATGCAGTGGATTTACAAAAGAAATGGAACAAGATTTAATGCAAGAATATCATCAAGAGGTATTAGGAGACAATACAGACGAATCTGAAGGTGAATCGGACGAAGAATTCATTGAAAACGACGAAGCATTAAACGAGCTAAAAAAGGAGGTCGAGCAAGAGATTAAATACTCAGAAGAGTCGGTTAAAAAGATGTCGCAAAATAAAAATAGTGGTATAATGAAATATATGGAATCAATGTCTAAATGTGAAGAATTCGACAAAGCTTTTGATGATGCAGAAGAGTTTAAAGATGCTCTATCCGATTTAAAGATAGCTGAACAGCCCACAACAGCAGAGTCTGTTACTAAAAACATCCCAGAACAAGACACAAAATCAGAATCAGGCGATTCAATTAGTTCAAATGATCTTGAAGTTCCAGAACTTGATGATGAATTAAAAGATTTAGATCCAAATTCTCGTGCATACAGAATGAAAATGGTCCGTAAAGTCCTGTCAGATGCTCGAAGTCAAAGGAGTTATTCGACAACAGCATCAACAATAGCACCGACAGTAATCACTGATAGAATCAAAAAGGCAATGACAGTACAAGAAAAGAGAGAGTCAAGGCGAAGAATAGTTCCAAAAGGACAGGCTAGTGCTGTAAGACGAATGAGAATTGAGAACAGAGATGTTGTTAAGGATTTATCTGGATGGATTTAAAATGCTGGATTTCATTTTTGATTTATTGGAAGTTATTTTATTTAATCGTGTAATACAGAATTACTCTTCATGAGAATTGAAGCTTTAAATTGTGAATTTTGAGTTGTTGATCAACTCCGATAATTTTTCAGCAACAATTAAAAGTTTTCAAAAAGCTCAGTTGCAACTGTCGAAAGATTTTCAGATTGATTTGAATTTTTTTGAGCCGTTAATCATTTTTTTCAAAAAATATTAAGTGCCACTCTTTAAAATTCATTCAAAATTCACAAATTATGTAGTAAAGCTAATGAAAAATACAATTTAGCTTATCAGAATCATAGCTTAAACCGTAATATTCTAGTATGGAGTTAAAATACCTGTACCGTCCACAAACATTTCAAAACTTTCATACGCCTTGCCATTAAGTAGAAGAACAAAAAAATAAAAAATAGTGAAGAGCTTTGAATGATTTAAAATCATTTTTAAAATTATATCATAGTATTTGTCATCTTAATTTCATTAAAATATAATATAATTGGATTTAAACATATCTAAAATGATAAAAACATGGATTAGTGACTGATGGTTGCGGATAAAGTGCTGAAAAGTGTAAATTAAAGTTTCTAAAAAATAATTTGTTGTTGTATGCATAAAGCAGGCTCTTTATAGTAAAAAAAGAAGCAGATAGTAAAAGAAAAAGAAAAAAAATACATACAAAAAATAAATCTGAGTAAGAAGAAGGAAGGAAATTAAATGATAATGCTGCGATCAACAATATGTCTAATTTTATTTTTGTTTATATCTGGTAAAATCTGTTATTATTAATAAATCTATAGCTTTAAATCTAATTAATAAAATTTATTTTTAAGATATATTGACTTTACCAAGCAGTACATTTAACGATCATGATCATGAGGAGCACGACGAGGATCAATATCATCCAGAATTGACAATCACATGCCAATATTACAAGAAAAAAGACTGCGAAGACAAGGGCGAATGCAATGAGACGACAAAGATATGTCCAGCATCACATGGAAAAAGGCAAGGATGCTTTACATTATGGCATCATGGAAATAACACAGACAAGCCAGAAGTACAAATGAAGGATTGCTTTATCTCGCAAGAATGTGATCAGCATGATTGTATCGACACTGAATATAACAGAACAAACAATAATTTTTGTTGTTGTAAAGAAGACATGTGCAATAGTAAATTCAAGTGGGTACCAGTCTATAAAGAGCCATCTACAACACCATCGGACGAGAATGAGGATGAACTAGAGTCAAATGACACATCAAAATACATCTTGGCATCAATTCTATTACTTTCACTTGTTGGATTCTGTTTTGCCTTTAAATATATGTACCAACGTAAGCATGGAATTTTCAATGAGATTCCTACAATGGAACCAGAACTTTCAGTTTCATCGCAATGCTTGGTAATTAGGCCAATTGAATTACAGGAAATTAAGGCACACGGTCGATTTGGAATCGTTTGGAAGGGAAATATGAAAAATGACGATGTTGCTGTCAAAGTCTTTCCTACACAAGATAAGAATTCATGGATAACTGAGCAGGAGATTTACAAACTCCCACGAATGAGTCATCCAAATATTTTGCATTTTATTGGAGCTGAAAAACACATTTTTCAAGATGGTAAAACTGAATTCTGGCTTATTACTGAATATCATACGTACGGCTCACTTTGTGATTATTTAAAATCACATACCGTTACATGGCAAGAACTTTGTAAGATTGCAGAATCTATGGCACGTGGTTTGATGCATTTGCATGAAGAAATACCTGGAAATCGAACAGAAGAATTAAAACCAGCTATTGCCCACCGTGATTTTAAGAGCAAGAATGTTTTACTTAAATCTGACTTGACTGCTTGCATTGCTGATTTCGGACTCGCACTCGTTTTTAACACTCCATGCGGTGACGTTCATGGACAAGTTGGAACTCGTCGTTATATGGCACCGGAAATTCTAGGTGAGATTGAAAAAAGCTTTATTGCTGGTTTTCAAATCAATTGTACAGTTCTCAAACACAGATATAGAAACATTTGAAGGGTTTTCATTTGAAATTCTGAACATTTGTATGGTTCTCGAATATAAAATTCAAACAACCGTTAAACTTTTACTTTAATCTTGAATATCAGATTCTCACTTATGCATCCAGACAGCATGCACTCATTTTTATGGAATTAAATTAACACGAGAAAATTTTCTTTCATCTTTATAGAAGGAGCAATAAACTTCAATCGCGACTCGTTCTTGAGAATTGATGTATATGCGTGTGGCTTAGCATTGTGGGAGTTGGTGTCACGTTGTACAGCTCATGGTGGACCTGTTGCTGAGTATCAATTGCCTTTCGAAAATGAACTTGGACCACATCCAACTTTAGAGGAAATGCAGGAAAATATTGCCGCCAAGAAAATACGTCCAAGAATTTATGATGAATGGAGGAATCATAATGTAAGTACCGGATACAATTTTAATTGAATTTGTTATGTTTATTGGAGAGTTTTATGTTGCAGGGATTAAGTGCGATAATTGATACAATTGAGGAATGTTGGGATCATGATGCAGAAGCCAGATTATCATCATCGTGTATTATGGAGAGGATATCACAGCACTCACGATATCAGCAAATGACGATCGATCAAACGACAAACTTTATAAGTCGAAATAATGCGAATGATCAGTGATATTAAATGAATCTTTTTAATATCACTGCACTGACTGAATAAAAGTTCAATATTCATCGTTTATGTAAGAGAAGAGAAATGAAAAACAATGATAACAATAAGAAAACAAAATATTAATGATAATACAAAAAGTTGGAACTTATTTTGTCCTTCGTTTTGACACTAATAAGAATTATGTGACGATATTTTAAGATGAATATGAGAAATTAACATCAATTTAAGAACTCACAAGTGAGAATTACCGTACAAATTGTGAAATTCTGGTACTCATTTGTTTTTATAATGAACGATTTGCATTCATTGATAGCAGCATTAATTATACATAACACACACATACACATATAATTTTATTGACCTTAATCCTTTATAATTTTCATTATTCGAGTTTATGAAGGCAAAACAGTAATTTTATTTTAATTAAATAAGTACAATCAAAATATTTTTGGACATTAAGTTACTTTTCTGGGTAAAGTGCTGCTGGAAAGTTGGAATTTATTGTTTCCGAGGTACAAAAAATTTCGTTGAAGTTCAATAATTTTGAATTTAGATCGATACAGTTCAAATTTTTTGAATTTTGATCGATAAAGTTCAATAAGTTTCAAAAAAAGTTCGTTAAAGTTCAAAAATTTTGAAAAAATTCGATAAAGTTCAAAAAAACTTCAACTGCCAAAATCACAAAAACAGCTGTTAAACAAAAAAAATTCCAGTTTTCAGCAACATTTCACTCGGGTTATTTTTTACTTCCAAAAATGGAATTAAGGCAGCTTAGATTATAAGTTGGTCGAAATAATTAATCAATTACTGATAATTAACAATCAAAATTAGGTTTACCAATTAATTTATCAATTAAGTTGTATAAGAAGGTAATTAATACAAACGACAAGATTAACATAAAATTCGAATTTTCATTCAATGCCTCTTTATATTGATCCAAAGCAAACAAATATTCCGATTCCTTATTTTTCATCATAAGCTGAATTGTTAGAAAACCATTAAGAATCCCAGTTAAAGAAAAAGAGTTTTAATAATAATAATAAAATATATTTTGATAGAAAACTTGTACACAAGCATGAAGAAGAAGAGAATCTTTCCAAAAAAAGAAAAACAACATAATAGTATGTATGTGTGCCAAATTTTTTAAATGGACTTAGATGTTTTTATTATTTCTTCGGTATTAGAAACTTATTTTCTTTATTTTTCATATCATTAAAGATTAAAACAAAATATATTGATAACATTTTAAAAATGCAATCGTAGAGAGAATTTATTGGAAATTGTGAGATATACTTCGCAAACTAGTGATTAAAGTTGATTAAAGCTTGCAAATCTGAAATAAAAAATTGTCAAAATTTCAAAACCTTCAAATTCATTTTTTTCTCAAGAATTTGTAAGGTTCTAAAATCAAATCCAAAAGATTTCAATCAACTTTAGACACAAATTTATAAAAGTTTAAATCTAAAAAAATTGATCCGTAGGACTGAATACATAATTGATACTAGAAAAATCGATCTTTTAAAGATTTTGGACTTATAAAAATTTCAAAGGTACGGAAGCTGATAGAATCAAAAAAATAAAGTGAACGACCTTGAGTCAAAAAAATAAGAAATTTGCACAATTACAATAAAAATAATAATTCAAAATTGGAAATAAATTACGAAAGGTGCTTAAACTCTTTTTTTGTCCTCCCATTAAGATTGAATATTCTACGAGTTTATAAGAATGAATTGTTGAATTAAAAGCAGTAAAAAAGTGTTAGAATTTTTAAAAACTTTTGCAGAAAGAAGGAACATTTTTAGGAATGCCAAAACTGTAATAAATTTTAGCTTTCGTGCCATAAACAATATATTAAAGTTTCAATACGTTTCATGTAAAATTATGCAATGTTACTTCTTTAAGTGGCAGGGAAATTTCAATGCAGTGAAATTGCGGGCTGTGGCTGTCGTGGATAATTTAATTTATGCTCACGATTACCCGCAATTACCAGTTTTAGATTATTCAATATGGAAAAATATATCATTGGGATTTTTCTATCCAACACGTAAATTATGCAAATCACTGCAAAAAATTATGAAATTTCTGCATCACATAGAAATATTTTTCGCAATTTAAAAATTATTACCTTAATTGAAGTGACACAGCTAATTATTTTTTAAAAGTAATATTAACGGACTCTTTTGTAATTGTAAATGTAAAGTTTTATGTTAAGATGCAGGGACGTAATTAAGTAGGGTTTTATGATTTCTTTCTCATGAGACTCTACTTGCTACGCCTCTGTTAAGATGTTTTTTGTGTAAACATTTAATAACGTGAATGAAAATGCAAAAACTTTTCACAGAAAATAAATAAAATCTTTTTTATTTAGGATAATAAATACAAAGTCTTTTCCATTCCTCTTGATTCTTTATTATTTGCTTGTGTTGCGTATTTTTCATGATTTGGGCTCAGCTTATTTGAATTTTGAATTATCAGAAAGTTCAATTGTAAATTTTGAACCAAAAAATTCGTTAATTTATAATTTTGAAATTGAAAATCTATAATTTTCAAAATATAAACTCCAAACAACCGTTAAAATTTACATTATTAAGTTCAAAAAAAGCTAAGTTCAAAATTTGAACATAAAAATCCGTTAATTTAGAATTCAGATTCTATTTATTCAGCAAGTTCAAAATTTTAAATTTGAAAATGTCGTTAACTTTCAAATTTTGAAAAACCGTTGCAAATTATCATATCCTCATGCTGAGCCCATTTCTTAAAATATTCACAATAATCAGCTTTATTTCATCAGTGCTTCATTTCTCATTTTCAGTTCCTTTATCACCCCGTCTACTTAAAAAATTACATTTTCCTATTCTATAGCATGAAAGTCGATAACGTGTATGATAGATGCGCAAATTTTCACGATATAAAGTTGATGGAATCAAAATTGATGATATGCATCTCACAATATGAAGAGTATAATATATCTAACGATGAATCGAAGGACTAGACAGAGGTATATCTAATTTATATGTTCCATCTATCAACATGCAGATATAACGTTATAAATTTCTCTTTTTATTATTATTATAATATTATCAGGAAAGGGAAAAATGGGAAAATATATACTAAGGACATCGTGTGAATTTATATAGACACTCATTAATAAATCATTCAGTCGACTATGTATCTAGGCCTCATCTTATAGCTTCTTTGCACGTTTTTTTCGTTTAATTTAATTTTCTTCTAATCATGTTAACGATTTTACTTGTAAATGGTGAGCTTGATGGATTCATTTGTGACGACGAGTGTGGCTGCTGCTGTTGTTGTTGTACAGGACTTACTGACTTTTCATTATTATTAACATCATCAGACTCTTCGAGAAGGAGACTTGTGAATGAGAATGATGGAGAATAATTTGCAGAAAATCGATGATCAATCGATTCGGAACTGCTCATTGATTCTGGAAATGGATCTGACTTAGACGAATTATTACTGCTGTATGAAAATTGATTAATTAGGTCTTCTTGGTCTGGTTGTTGATTCATTGCATCCTCATCAGAATACGAATTTAAGTCCATAGACCCATTTGATGTAGAATTTGAGCTTGTCACGGAAGACGAGTCATCATCAATCATATTATTATCTAATATCTCATTATCAATGTCCTCAACGAGTTCCAAGGAAGATGTGTAGTTGCAATTCTCATCACTTTGATCACTTGACGATCCTTGTTGCCGTTCACTGACTTTTTGTATTAATTCCGGATAGAAATCCTTTGCTGTCTTGTTGTTTGGCTCAAACTCTAAAACTATATGGAACCACAAAAAAAAATTAAATGCGCAAAAATTAATTTTCATGTCCAAACAACGCAATAATTATCATATAAATTACTCATTTTGCAATATTTTAAGGCATTAACGTAATCTTTTCTCATAATCGATGTCAAAAATTCAGCCAGCAGTTCCGTCGGTGCCGAATTCTCTGGATCTGTATACTCTGATGTGCTATCCTCATCATTGTTGTTTCGAGTTGATATCATTGCTGATGTTGTTCCCATCAAATTGCCATTTGCGTCGTCCAAATTTGAACTCTAAAATATTATTTTTTTTATGATTTCTTTAATTTACTTAATTCTTTTTTTAGGCACAGCCAGCACGAAAAAAGGAAATTAATTCAAATTAAATGGATATGAAAGGAGCGAAAGAATTTCTTATTGTGTCGATTTGCACGAGAAATAGAGACTAAAAGTCGATTTATCGAACCGAGAGGAGTTAGTAGGAAAAAAAAAGGTTAAAGGTTCACAGCACAAAAAGAAGCAGACGTGCATGAAAATCAATAAGGGATGAAAAATGAAAGCGAAAAAATCAAAATAAAAAGAAGAAATAAATTTCCATAGTAAATAACAAGCACTTAGTTTTTGTTTGTAGGCATAAGCTGCGGTAAGTTACTAAAAAGTAATTTATTCAGCATGCAAACGAATGAAAGTAAAATTGCTAAAAATGCACCAAAAATGATTCATATGATTTCTCACATTGTTCCCTATAATTAGTGACATGTTGCTTGATATTTTTACATTTATGCCTGTCCAAAATACATAAAATTACAGTTATTAGCACAATTTCGAGCTTTTATTCACAAACTACGCACTACTTTTTCCTTCAATAAATTTTATTTCCTTCTATGTTTTGGTTCCGTATAAAGGATGTACGTTTCCATCGATGCTTTAAAGAAGACTGAGCATCGGAGCTTTTAATTTTCTCTCAAATTGAGAAAACTCACAAATTTTTCTTCTTTTTCCTCGCTGCAACTTGTTGAACCAATTTGTATAGCCTGTTATTGTAGATAAAAGGTGTTGCTCAAGGTATCATTGGCTCCTTTTTATAGCTTATTGGTTTATGGACTGTTTTATGAGTAGTCTCGTGGTGTTTTGTGCTTAAATAATTGTTTTAATTGAGCTTTCATGCTTTTATTGGAGTTTTAGAAATAATTGTGTTCAAATGCTTTATCAAAAGCTGTTTTATGTTTTAATTAATCCCAATTAATCAAGTGTCGTCTAATGCTCAAATTCTGTAGCACACTTCAGCTTCTGAAAGTCAAAAAAACGATTTTTTTCAAAACACGCGACTTTTACAGAATTTTGAAGCGTGTCTTGAAACTATTCTAAGTTTTCTTTTAAACCAATTTGAATTTAAAATGGCAGTTGAATCTGGTGATTTCAATTTAAACTGCATAAATGCGCCAAAGCTCAAACATCTCGTAACTTCGTTTCTACCAATCAATTTTCTACAAAAAAAAAAAGCTTCACGTTCCTGCATGTTTGGCTTGTCAACATCAAACAGCAAGCAAAAAGTGAAACAATAATCTTGCATTTAATGTTTCAAAGATTGCAGTTTTATTGACACATAGCAAATTATATTGCACATTATAGATAAACACATTGTCAAGTTTAATTTAAACATGATTCTAACAATTTAGCATGACTTTGGCTTTCTTTGGCTTCTTTTCCATTCATAGCTTCATTTTATATTGAATATCGTGAGACTTTTTCTTTTGGGATTTTTTTATAACAAATCGAATAAATTATTGCTTATCATTTCGTCTGAGATTGTAGCAATTAATCTTCTTGAATGCTCGAGCTGTAAATGAGGATTAACGAGTCCTAAATGTATCGTGAAAAGTTCGAAGATCTTGATTTTGTTTAATCCATTGCTGATTTTTGGAAAGAGTGTCTCGATTAATTTCCTGCAAATCAAGTAATGAGATTAATTAATTACAAATTGCTTTCAGACATGCATTAGAAGTCAAAGTGTTTAAGATCCTTATAAATGTTTTGATTCTCAAAACAACACAAATTCTTAGTATATAAAACATTTATAAGGTTTTAGAATCTCAATAATAATTTGTAAGGTTTTAGATACTCAAAAATATAACTTACAGATAAAAGTCATGAGCCATAATTCCTGGCACCAAATTCTGTTTCGGTGCAAAGCTGCTCTGATCCTTTGGCTTCAAACTCTGTCCATTTGCATCCTCAAACCACAGACTATAATGATAGCTGAAAGCAAAGTCCTTCCAAATTACAGTAGTCTGTCCATTCTGAAGATAGTTTCTGGCTGTATCAATCATTTCCCAAACTTTAGTCCTGATTTGAGGACTCGTCTCTGCAACAGTTCGTCCAAGATCTGGATAAATGCAGGACCCACGTTGTCGATCAACAAAAATGAAGTAAATTAAGCCAGCAAAGTCTTCGAGGTAGGAATTCAATGCTAAATTATTCTTTGCCTTAATTTTATCAAATTCTGCGACTTTTAAAATCTTTTCTGTCGCAAATGCTGCTGTATTTAAGAGAGCTTTCTCTTGTTCATGTGAAATTGTTTTGGAATGTTCAGTAAAGAATGTCAATTTGTAAAGATCCTTTGTCGCTTCCATAAAACATGGAAAATATGATTCAACACTAATCAATTTTGTCTTGTCCATTAATTTCAGCATTTCCATATACTTTTTTCGAAATATTTCGTATTTATTTTGGTAGTTTTTCACACATTCCTCCATCTCCTGACTATTGTGCTTTGTCTTCTTTTTCGTCTCAATGACATGCTTAATGCACTTGTCTAACTTGTCAGTTTCTATAACTAAACTGTCAAGATCTTGTTGTGCTTGAAGGACTTTGATTTTGTTTAATAATAAAAACGATTCGTACAGATTAGAGGATACGACTGTGCTTGCAAATTCAGACAATAATATTAATGTAATATAGTCGTCGATAGCAATTCTGATGACTTTATAAGCTACACAACTGTTATGTGATCCTCTCATAAACATTAATGTCGTTTCAATTTTCTCACTCATTTTAATTGATTGACAGTACAGATTTAAGAAGAATATGTCTGCTGGAATCAACATGTGATGGGTTGTGCGTGACGAGAACATTGAAAGAAATTTATTTTCGTAAAACAAAATTGCATGACTTCTTTGGAAATGATGGTCGTGCTTTAATTTGTCAACAGATTGTTCTAGGATTGACACTAAGCTTGTCTTTTTGACATCATTATTAATAGCAAGTTGCTCTATAGCTTCTAAGCATATATCAATGTTCTCATAGTACATTTCATTCCATTTAATTATTAATCTTGTTAATAATTCAGCAGATTTATTGTCAGTTTTGAACTGAAGAACTGCTGGTCCAACAAGATGCTTCATGAATTCCTATAAAGTAAAATACTGTTGAATTATTATGTTACATTGATATTGATCGTAGGAATCTGATTATTATTGAAAAGTTATAATTGAGGAAAAGGATTTTTTCAAGTTAAAATTACATTTTTGTTATTTGAGAGGATTAAAATAAGGTATACTACTTTTTCTAAGAGGTTATGGGCCTTAATGCAATAAATAGAAAAGGAATTTTGCCATGTACGAGCGGTTGAAATGCGGAAATTATCGTGTTTGGGCGTTTCAAATGAAGATGATTTTGATCAGGGAAGATTTATGGGATGTTATCGAACCAGGAAGCTCAAAACCAGAGGATGCAGTTAGATGCTTGAAAGCATTGGCGCATATTGTATTGATGATTGATAATGATCAACTGGTCCATTTTTCGGAAGCAAAAGATGGCAAAGAAGCATGAGATTCATTGAAGAGTTTTCACCATAATGATTCAGTTGGACATAAGGTGAGGCTTTACAAGCAATTATTCAAGACTGAATTATCAATTGGCGGTGACATGCAAAAACATTTGCAAAGATTGTTCAAAAGATCAAGGATTGTGGTGATGAGCTTGAATTCTGTCAAATCTACATGCTGAATATGATCATTTAGTGACTGGATTAGAATCATGGGAAGAAAAGGAGCTAACTGTGCATAATGTTAAGCTCAAACTTATCGATGAATGGGAAAGGCGAAGTGAACATGCAAGCAAAAGATCTGATGTTTATTGTGTCAATAGTACTGAAATTGATATGAAAAAACAGTATGTGCTTTAAATGCAAGCAAGAAGGACATATCAAGCGAAATTGTCCAATGTTGAATATTGAAGAAAAGGAAGAAGGCAAGGATGAAACTGTCAAAATGGCAAAATTTAGAGGAGGGCACAGAAGTTCTTATGATCCAAGAGACTCTCAGTGGTGTATTGACTCAGAAGCTTCGTCTCACATGACATACAGTAAGTCGTTTTTCATTACTTTTCATGAAAGTGTTAAGGGAACAGTTACTGTTGCTAATGGTGAGAAGGTTGAGTACATAGGGAGAGGAAATGTCCGTTTGAACGTATTTGTACGAAACGAAAGTTTTAGTGTAGATTTGACTGACGTACTTCTGGTGCCATGCATTGACAGTAATTTGATTTCTATTTGATTTTAATTCAGCTGGTTGTTACCTTAAAGTAGAAGGTGTGGAACAATTGCAAATTGCTGAGAAATCAGGCGATATGTATGTTGTAAGAGCTGAAGTCGAAAGATAATGTTTGGTTAACGACAGAGTGGATAGATGCTGTGTACATGAATGGCATAGAAAACTAGCTCATAGAAATCTGCATGGTATACTCGCGATGAGGGAAAGGTTTGAAGATTGCCGATTGTGATTGCACAAATGTGTGTGAATCATGCATTGTAGAGATTATTTCTAGAAATCCATTTCCAAAGAAGGCAACACCTGTTGAAAATACACTTGACTGTGTAGTCAGTGATATTTGTGGCCCTAAGCCAACTACATCAGTTGGAGGATTCCGATTTTTTGCAACATTTACAGATGTTTATTCAAAATTTAGTGCAGTATATCTTTTGAAAGCAAAGAGTGAAGCGGAAAGTTAAAATGTTCCGCACAGATCGAGGCACAGAATACTTAAGTAAGGAAGTTCAGAAGTATTTACGTTCAGAGGGTATTCGATTTCAGTTGCTTACTCACCACAGCAAAATGGTATTTCTGAGAGAAAGAATAGGACTTTAGTTGAGGCATGTAGGACGATGCTTACTGAGTCAAGAATGGCACGAGAATACTGGGACGAAGCTATAATGAATGCCAATTTCTCATTGAATCGTGTTGTGAGCAAAGATGATCCGAAGTCTTCATATGAGAAGTTCTTTGGATATGAATTTTTTGAAAAAAAAGTTTTTGAGGATAAGTCAGAATTCATCTCATGAAATGAACAATAGCAGCAGTGATTTGGTGCCGTTTCCATTTTTGACTGATGTAAGGAATGATGTTCAAAGTATAAATAATTCTGAATTGTTCTTTGATGCTGTCACATATTCTCCAAGAATTCATTTTGAGCCAAAGACATTCAAACAAGCTATGAATTGTTTTGATGCCAGTAAGTGGAAGATGGCTATGGAAGAAGAGATTAAGTCAATTAATCAGAACAAAACTTGGGATCTTATGATGTTGCCTAAAATAAACGTGCCATCGGCTGTAAATGAGAATGGCCAGGTGTGTTCTTACAAGGCAAGACTAGTTGATCAAGGATTTTCCCAAAAGTACGGAGAAGACTATGATGAGGTGTTTGCTCCAGTAGCTCGATCAGCAACATTTAGGATTCTCATGTCAGTTGCTGGTGTCAATAAATATCATGTTAAACAATTTGACATTAAGACAGCTTTCTTGAATGGTGATATCGAGGAGGAGATATAAATGAGGCAACCACCTAGATTTGAGAACGGAAATCGTGTTTGCAAGTTAAGAAAAAGTCTTTATGGTTTGAAGCAAGCAGCAAGATCATGGAATAAAGTTTATCATGAAGCAGTTATTAATTTCGGATTCAAGCAAAGCGAAGTTGATAAATGCTTGTGCAGCATGAAGAGAGGAGTTGATACTTGCTATATGATTGTTCATGTCGATGACATTCTAGTTGCTTCAAATAATGAAAAATTGACAAAAAGTTTTAAGAATCATATTGGAAGACAGTTCGAAGTAAAAGATATGGGAAGTGTAAAGCATTTTTTGGGACTTGATGTGAAACGTGATGAAGATGGAAATTTTCACATAAGTCAGAAACAATATATTGAAAAGATTGTGGAAGAAGCTGGACTGAATGATGGAAAGTATTCAAAATATCCTTTAATGACTGGCTATTTTAGACATCATCACGAAAACTATTTAGAATCAAATAATGAGTACAGAAAGCTCATTGGTAAACTGTTGTATGTTAGTACGAATACAAGACCTGATATAGCTGCATCTGTTGGAATATTATGCCAAAAGATTTCAAAACCAACGAAGACCGATTTGATAGAAGCAAGGAGAATAATTCGCTATCTTAATGGAACAAAGAGTCTAAATTTGAAGTTGAGTGATAAGAACAAGGGTGGAAAATTGGAAGTTTAAAAAATGCAGTTAAAACAATAATTATTCAAGCAATTGAATGTCATTGTACCTTATAAACTCCTTGTGATCTCTGCATTTGTTCAATATTTTTAGTGTCACTAATTGTAATGAGCAGGAATCCAAAACTTTCATCATCAAACACCATATTAAAACCGTGCTTGCATTTAACATAATTAAATGAATTATCAAACTGGATTAGCATAAATCGGAGATTAGCAAGTAACGGATTAAATATGTGAATTAGCTCGTCATATGAAATTGGCGTTTCCCTCTGTTCCTCGCTATTAATAATTCCGATTTTTCGTCCAATATTTATCAGCTTGTCATTCATTAACTCATTGCTGTATTTGAAGACCAAGTCATTAGACAAGTCAAATACAAAAAATCCGTCCATTTTTGTGGATCTAAAAGATAAGAGACGTTTGGTAAAACTGAGTTTGAGATCCAGTAATGATTTTCATACTTAATTTGATGAGTTTTATAAGAAACTGATTTTATATCCTTTGGAATGTAGGATCTAATTGGATTATCGCCTTAAAAATATGAAAATTCTTGTGTAGACAGCAAATTGTGAAAAACTTAATTAAATCCTTGTTATGAATGAATTCCTTAAAAATAATTATATGCACGATTAGCACATACTATTAGTCACTTAATTATCTATTTCTATCACTTTAAAATGCCTTAATTAAGGTAATATTTATTTTTTATTATGGACAGAAAAAATTACAGAAGTCCTCGTGTTATTGATCGAGGGACTTAAGCGCATTTTTGTGTTAGCGATCAGTATTTGATTATGTAATTATTTTGCGTTCATTTACAGATCATGAGAAGATTAGAAGATCATTAATTTTAGTGTAATTAACAAAAAGTTACAATGAATGCTTATATAGAAAGGATTATTATTTAACGGTCAATAAATAATTTGAAATTTTGCCGTTAAAAGTTGCACTACGAAAATATTAATTATAGTATAATTAAACAATTTGTTGCAATAAATTTCCATACAGAAAGGGTTTATCATTTAACGGTTTTTTTGTAATTCAAATTTTCTAAAGGTCAATAAATAATTTGAAATTTTCCCGCTATAAGTTGCACTACGAAAAAATTAATTATAGTATAATTAAATAATTTGTTGCAATGAATTTCCATACAGAAAGGATTTATCATTTAACGGTTTTTTTTAATTCAAATTTTCTAACGGTCAGTAAATAATTTGAAATTTTCCCGCTATAAGTTGCACTACGAAAAAATTAATTATAGTATAATTAAATAATTTGTTGCAATGAATTTCCATACAGAAAGGATTTATCATTTAACGATTTTTTGTAATTCAAATTTTCTAACGGTCAGTAAATAATTTGAAATTTTCCCGCTATAAGTTGCACTACGAAAAAATTAATTATAGTATAATTAAATAATTTGTTGCAATGAATTTCCATACAGAAAGGGTTTATCATTTAACGGTTTTTTGTAATTCAAATTTTCTAACGGTCAATAAATAATTTGAAATTTTCCCGCTATAAGTTGCACTACGAAAAAATTAATTATAGTATAATTAAATAATTTGTTGCAATGAATTTCCATACAGAAAGGATTTATCATTTAACGATTTTTTGTAATTCAAATTTTCTAACGGTCAGTAAATAATTTGAAATTTTGCCGTTAAAAGTTGCACTACGAAAAAATTAATTATAGTATAATTAAACAATTTGTTGCAATGAATTTCCATACAGAAAGGGTTTATCATTTAACGGTTTTTTGTAATTCAAATTTTCTAACGGTCAATAAATAATTTGAAATTTTCCCGCTATAAGTTGCACTACGAAAAAATTAATTATAGTATAATTAAATAATTTGTTGCAATGAATTTCCATACAGAAAGGATTTATCATTTAACGATTTTTTGTAATTCAAATTTTCTAACGGTCAGTAAATAATTTGAAATTTTGCCGTTAAAAGTTGCACTACGAAAAAATTAATTATAGTATAATTAAACAATTTGTTGCAATGAATTTCCATACAGAAAGAGTTTATCATTTAACGGTTTCTTGTAATTCAAATTTTCTAACGGTCAATATAATAATAATTTGAAATTTTCCCGCTATAAGTTGCACTACGAAAAAATTAATTATAGTATAATTAAATAATTTGTTGCAATGAATTTTCATACAGAAAGGGTTTATCATTTAACATTTTTTTGTAATTCAAATTTTCTAACGGTCAATAAATAGTTTGAAATTTTCCCGCTATAAGTTGCACTACGAAATAATAATTATAGTATAATTAAATAATTTGTTCCAATGAATTTCCATACAAAAAAAGTTTATCATTTAACGGTTTTTTGAAATTCAAATTTTACAACGGCTAGAAATTTTTTGAAATTATAGAGGTAATATTGAAATTATAGAGGTAAAATAAAATTTGAGCAGGTTACACTGAAAACAAAACAAAAATTCATTAATTATAGCATAAATACACTGTTTTAAGATTTTTAAATGTCCGGCGGGCCAATAACTCGATATAACGGAACTAATGCAAAAAACTAGAACTCTCTACGATGTCTAGATTAAAAGTTTTTCTTAGCAGCCGACCAGCCAGCCGACCAGCCGACCAGCCGACCAAAGTGCGTTATTAAGCTACCTTTTTGAAACAAGTTTCAAAAATGCGCTAAAAAAATCAATTGGAATGTAAACATTGTCTTCGGATTAAGTTTGAAAATTTTTTGACAGTTATTTGAAAAATGGAAATTAGTAGCACGACGATTTAGAACAGTCTGAATGAGTTTATAGCACTTATATAGATCCAGTAAATAAATTTATCTGCAACTTTATTGATTATTATCCCAGGCCATGTCTAATTTTCGAAGCTCTTTTTCCATTGCACTGTTCTAGTTACGAAGCTCGGTTCGTGTCTTAAGTCTTTGGCACAGAATGTGCCTCCTTTGCTAGGTATACAAGAATATACTAGCATCTAGATGACTTCCTTACGTGTGCATCTTGCGCACACGAATTGTGACCAGGTTCATTGCAGGGTACATCAGATCTTATGACGTACTCGTGTCTTTGCAATGTGCAGAGCTTGCAAGTGGTTCGAATCCCACTATAAACTGTAGGTCTAAAGGATTTGGTACGATAGATTCTGTTCAAATTTGAGTCGCAGTGCCTCCAGCTGAAAGGCTGGGCCCTTCACACATTATTATTGATTATTCACCAAAATAATTGAATTCTTGTTTTTCCCGCACTTTTCATTCCGATTTTTTAAAAATAAATTCTTAACGACTATTTAATGAAGCTTTTTGAAAGCTTTTCTTAAATTGTTTTTTAAAAACTTAAGAATAAAAACAAGAAATAGTCATTAAATGTCAATTGAAAATCGAGTAGTCAATTAAAGTTTAATCAACTATTGATGATCAAAAATAAAAACTTGAAATAAAATGAAATAATTTAAAAGCTATCAAGTCTTAGCGTTGCCAGAAAGTTCAAATTGAGAGACTGAGCAATATTGAGCAATGGACAGTATACAAACGTACGAAACATTCTTTAGTTTCTCATTTGATTTTGAGAGTTGCGAGTGACATATAATCAAGTGAATCGTGAGTTTATATTTTTTCTTATATTTTAAGAATAATTAAATATTTAGCAATTGAAAGTGCATAAAACGTGTACATAAATAAGTAATGAAACGTGAAATAATGGAAAAAGCATAAAAATAATTGTGTAAACGTAATAAAAAATTAAATTAAAAAATATCTAATTTATAGTTCATAAGTTAAATATTAAAAATATAAAAAAAAAATAAGTGAAGTGCAAAAATATAGAAAATTATGCCCAAAAGCATGAATAAAAATGAGGATTTACCATTACCATATAATTGGGAAAGAGGACAGGATTATGATGGAAAAGTCTACTATATTGATCACACGAGAAAGATCACAACATGGATAGATCCTCGAGATAGGTAGGACACATGCATCAGCTATATGTATTATGATCGTCATTTCTTGCACAATTTTTACCATAAAAGTATTAAGGATCGTTAATTAATGAGCAATAATGCTCAATTCAATAAATTTCCAACGAGTGCGAATGAAAGTTTTGTGAAATATTTCACTAAATTTATAATAAAGGTCAATAAAAATATATTCTGATCACTTGAAATTCTTTAAGATAGGTGGCGCGCATTTTTTTAAATTTTTTTTTTATGTATGTATACACAACATTAAGCATGTATACGTTCGCTACTAATTCACAACTACAATTAATATCCAGCTAAAGTGCACAACACATTCAATTCGAGAAAAAGTAAATTTTTGTTTGTGCTTTGCAGCTATTGTGGATGTTATTCATGTGTGTATAACATAAACACACAAGTTTTCTTTCCATTCCAAAAGGCCTGACTGAAGTGCCTTTTTGATTCCTCTAAGAAAAAAAAATAATATAATGAAGAGTTTTTTGTTGTTTGTGAGCAGCAGCATCACTTACTTTAATTATTTTTCGTCTCATTCTAAAGAATTTCCATCATGCTGATGATCAAGTTCATTATGCAATTTAGAAACAGCAATTAAATTTCCAAGAATTTCACATTTTTTTCTTGCTTTTTAAATTTCGATATGTAAATCTCTGGCTGCAATACAACAGCATTTTTTCGAGTCTATTTATCTAAAAAAAAAATTGTATATTGTGTATCTGTATGTATACATAAAACGACATTCCTTTGAATCAAATGTTGTTGTTGCTGCTGTTATTACTGTTTCTCTCTTTTTACCTCCATTCTTCTATTTCTTTCAAATATATGTGTTCTGTATTTAATAGCACACAGTGTAAATAACAATAATACCAATAGCTCAACATTCGAGGCAGGCAGGCAGCGTAGAAGAAGAGGAAGACGAAGAGTTCCAAATGTTTATTTTTTATGTTTCTTCTTTTAATTCTTGTTTATGACAATTTTATTTCAAGAATTTCTTAAATTTCTACGCTTAAAAATGTAAATTGTCATTCAATCTCATGCAAATTTTTATCTCTTTTATACCTTTTTGAATTTCGGCTTGGATGGGTTTAAATAATTTTTTCTTTTATTATTGTCTTAATGATGTAATTAGAATGGATTTCTCTACATTCCTGTGTCTAGATTATTATTATTATTACTTGAATTTAAACCACTAAGCTAGTCATATTATTGATAATCAAGTGAATCATTTGAAGGTTAAACATGATTTATTAAAAAGATTTTTGAATTTTGGCGGGGATTTTAAAAAAGATTTCAAGGCTATGCGATTGAAAACATTCTGTCTAGTTCTATAAAATTATTCATTTTGAGGACAACCTTTTACCTTTTCAAAGACCTTTACTCTTGGAAGCTTGATTGACATGAAAATTATGGGTTATTGATCAAACTTCTATCAAGTTTAAATGTCGTTCATTTTAAAATTTTATTAAGGGTCATGAATGATGTAACTATTTTGAAAGGAATTCAATGTACGAAGGGTCGAAGATGTCAATACATGATCAATTTTATTAAGATCTTGAGCAAAAAAATATTTCAACAAGGTTCTGGTGATGTGATTAGCTAAAGGCACTTCGATTTTGATTTTTGTTTAAATCTTTCTAAGATTAAATAATTCAATTCAGTTAGAATGCCCAATTGCCTTCTTTTAACATCGTTTGATCTCTTGGCTATAGTTTACTATCAATACTTTGATCTGAATCAGCTACAAATTATACGTTTTGATGGAATAAAATTTGAATACTTAATTGGAAGATTCCAAAAAAGGTAAAGCATAGTTGTGAATTGATTCCTGTATTACAGCTTAACCTGTCTTAACTAGACCTGTTCTTATAAGAGTCAAACATGACTTTGTTCATTTACTTGGCTGTCATTAACTGGCTGTAGGTTACTTAAGATGATCATTGCTTAGTTTGAAAGAACAAACTGCACTCTTAACATTCTTAATAAAGATTAGCATTAAAATCTTAACAGAAGTAGCAAAATTATACAATTTCCTGAAGACATCACTTTCGAACGTCCCCTCAGCTTTCAGCAATAAGTGCGTTGCTAAATTGATAAAAAAAAACTTGTTCTTCTATGTCATAATTTTGAATATAAATTCTTTCAAATCCTGTCTTTAGTATTGTAAAACTTCTTTCGTTCAAACAAGAACCAATCATCAAATGATTTCACATGTCCAACCAAAAAGACATCTTCCGAATTTTTGCTCAAGGAGATTGATTCTGAATTCTTGAATGAATCTTTTAATATATGTCAAAAAAGTATCTGAATTTTAATATTAGTATAACCGAGTTGTCCCATCAAAAAACAAGTTTTCATTCACTTTATTTCAAAAATATCTAAAACATCTTTTCTTCTTGTTCTTAAAGCCTATCATAAAGCTGATAATCAAAGAAATAAATTCCCCCCTAAAGTAATGATCGACAGTACAGAATATATAAAAACAAAAATTTTGAGAAAAAAGAAAAAAAAGACATTGGAATTTTTGAAATTTTCTGTTTATTAGAAAATTATTTTATTTTTAGCCATCCCATACACTCAATGAATATATAGATATATTCAAACACTTTCGGCTTCTCACTGAACTATATTTTTTTTTCCTTTTACTCAACAGATAGAAAATTATTGGAGAGAAATGCTCTCAAAATGATTTTTTTTCTTTTGCTTTTTTAATTTAAATTAATGAGTATTGCGACTGGAAAATTTTCCATAGTTTGATTAAAAATGAAAAATTTCTTTTTGAACTTTGCACTTCCTTGACTGACAGGAGTGTATTAATGAAGCGAACCTTAAAAATTAAAGGAGGAGAAACTTTGGGTTTCTTCAAATCGATGTTTTCTTTCCAAAAATGTCTGATTTCACTAATGCCTCAAAAAAATCTTCAATTTCTTGTCTTCCTTTAAATTGAATCAAAGAATTTAATCTAGAACAATTAGGTTATGTTACTCAATCCGGTCAAAAAAGAGAGATATAACCAAAATATTTACTTACGGTTTTTGGAGAAAATTTATACAAACTATTATGACTAATTCTGAAAGAAGCTCAAATTAAAGTTTCAAAAAAATTTGTTTTTAATTTAAAGTCATTCGAATAAATCTCAAACCGGTTCAATATAAATATTAAAAATATTCTAGACTGTTTAACATTAGAATATCTAAATAAAATCATCACGAAATCGCGCACGTATGCCTTGACAATTAAGTCAAAGTTTATCTTAATGATAGCGACTATTAATTGTATACTTTAAGTGTTCAATGCCCTTATTACTACTGACTACGATTAATAAACTTTCAGAGACATTTGGCACGTAAATTTTATGTAAATGTGATGTTTTGTGATTTTGTTGTTGTTTAGGAAAAGAGCTAATGGATGTGATTGAACTTTTATTTATGGTTTTTGTCATGTGCCTTAGATTAATGTTTGAAAGGTTAAAGACCAAACTTAGCTTGACTAAAGTTTACCAAAATAAAATTCTACTGTTTTGAAGCTTGTTTAAACTTCAATGTCAATTCCAAACATTCTTCTTCTGTTCTTAATCACAAATTAAAGATTCGGAAATCATGCGTAATTATAGCTGATTAGTTAAATTCCTGGTCACAAACCATTAACACTCTTTTATAAGTACGTAGAAACATTCAAAAGTGCCTAAAATCTTGAAATGAGTTTTGTCGACACAAATATTGCATCAGATTAGCCAGAACTACTGAAATAATCTTCTACAAACTTTCAATTCCCGTTACTCTTTCATTCTCGTTAAGAATTCACATTTATTTGACTTAATTGCTTAAAATTAGCATAAAAGCACCAAAAATATATCGAATCGTAATCAGCAAACATTTTAAAGTATTTCCTGTATCCAACATCAATATGAGTCAGTTCAAGTCAATTCTGTGAATGGTTGAAATTGAATCACATATCTAAATTGATATTGACATCTTGATTTTTTTTTTGGTTACAATTTGTGCCTTGCTGAAGAATTCTTTTGAAATGTCTTTATTGATGACATGTTTGACAGCAGAAAGTAAGGAATTTCCAAGTCAAGCAATATTTTTTTTTGATAAATAAGTCACAATACTTTATTTACATTACTGTATATTTTTTTATGTAACAAGTAAAGCTCAAAGAACATGATACTGCTTATTAAGTAGAAATTACACAAAAACAACAACATTTAATTCATAAATTCATTTTAATATGTAAATTCTATTTTATATTGAGGATTACAAGCTGATGAGGCAGTAATGTTGTAAATTTCTCTGATCACTTTTATTACAAGACAATTAAACTAGCTAATTAAATCTGCTTTTATGCCATAAATAGAAATTATGTTTGCACAGTGCTAGTTATTCGAGAATTATTTGCTATTGGCTTAATATATTTGGTTTCTGGTTCATAAACTTGAAGATCCAGTTGGAATTTTTTTTGCTTAAGAATTTGAATTTATTATAGTCGTCCATACGAGGATGATAGTAAATTTTTAGTAGAACCGGAAAAGAATAAAAACACAATTTTTATAGGCTTGACGTTGCCGGATGCAAAATATCTTATCAGACTTGAACATTGATCGATATTTTGGCATACTTTTTGATATTTCCGGATTCATCATGCATTTCGCTTGTGTTATGTAAAAAATTGGAATTGATTATAATAATTTTGCTGTGTGTAGCAGTGCTTATTCGTTTCAAGGTTGCTTAGCAAAGGCCTAAAGGTGAAAATTGACAACCGATAACCTCAAAACGGTCGTTAGCACCAAAATAACTCATTTGTCGTCTCGAAAGCTGTATGACTCATTTGAAAAGAATGAACTAAAGCTGCGAAGTTGCGAATCTGAATAAATTAACATTTATAGCATAATATCAAATCTCATAATTCTATAGAATTGTATAATATGATGATTATTCTCATAAGAAACAATGAAAAAATTGGACGATGATAATTTAAATTCCTAAAAT